CGCCCGGGGCGGGCCAGCGCCCAGCGGTCCTGCCCGCCGCCCCGCCCCGGCCTCCGCGCGCCCAGCGGCCGCCGGCCCTGCACTCAGGTGCGAGCACCTTCTGGCCGCTCCGCCGCGGAGTGCCCGCCGCCCGCCGGACCGTCAGCCTGGTCGGTGGCTGCCCGGTTGTGGTTGGAAGTTTCCCCGCCGTTGGCCGAGAGAACTAGCCAGGTGTGTTGGGGGCTCGCCTGCGCGCAGAAGGATTGGTAACGAGGCGTGATGGCATTCCTAGATGTTGGCTGGTTAAACAAACCGCTTTGGCTTTAGAGACTCTCGTAAACTGACCGTGATTTAGGGATGAGGATTGGGAATCGATTCTTTTTTTAGCCCCCGTCCACACTCAGAAAGCGGCGGGAATATTCAAAGATCCCTCACGTTCTGGAAAATAGACTTCTTCCCAGCCTGGTTTTCGGTATTCACGATACTGCCTTTCAGTACGTACAGACCAAAAACGCTTTCCGAATTAGAGAGTTACAGAGTTAGAACTTTAACGCGTCATGCTGAGTAATTAGGCAATGTGAAAGGGACAGAAAATGGGGTAATGTGCTGGAAGTTGAGCGTAGACCGTAGAGAGCTCTGCCTGGGTGCCAAGGAAAAAGTGCTGTGCACGTTACAAGTTTTCTTTTTTTTTTTTTTTTTTTTTTTTTCTGGTGTAAGTTTGGAAGTGGGAATCTGAGGTTTTCGAAGGTATTTAGACGACAGTTCTCCAGTCCCTTCTCAGATAAATGTCAGATGAGCCTTATGCATTATTGTGTACTCTAAGCATTTACAGCATAAATTTTATTTCCTGCCAGCCTTACTTATATATTTTTGGACAGTTTAAGTGAATATAAAGTTTCAAGTTACCAAACAGTTAACTCTTTTCACCATATGTTAAGTAAAACAGTGATTTAGGAAGGCAAGTGTGACTCACTTAAAAATTCAGCTCCAGGGGAGAACTATGCAGTGTCTCAGATTTGCTTGAAATTTATGTTCTCCTGTATCTTTTTCCTCAGGACTCAGCATTTTACAAATTCTTTGTGGTTACTGACCACTTAGGGTCCCCCCCCCCCCCCCCCCCCCCTGCTTTAAAAACATCATCCTAGCCTATAATTTCATACCAATCAAATTTGAGAATTGTATAAGCAGTTAATTTAAGAGTAATGTAATGAGCTGATGTTTAGCTCATCGAATGCAAAAGTGCTTCACTCTATGTTGGCTGTATGCTGCTTGTGTGTTGATTTTGCTGAAATGAATATTGCGTTATGCATGTAAACAAGTATAAATGTGGATTATGTTTATAATTCATGATAATATAACGTCAGGTCTGTGTGATGAAATCAGTGGTTGGAATTTTTTGTGACAGCTTATTTATAAATAAAATGTAAATAGAAATTTTTACCTCTTACACTCAAAACTTTTGGCTTTTTAGTACAAACATTTAAAAAAGACTTTTTTAGATTTGAGTAAAAAAACTTAGTTGAAAATTACATCAAAGTTAAAAGAAAGATACATGTTTTTAATACCAAATCTGGTGGGACTTAGGTCTATTTAAAAATTAAAATTTTAAGTTAATATGCAAAGTAATGAGATCCATATACATGCATGCCATTATACTTGCTTTTATTCATTTCAGGAAAGAAAAACAAGACTTGTTCCATAAAATGTAAAGTTAGCATTTTATCTATGAATCTGGTAAGAAACAAATGTCAAAGTATACTTAAGTTTTTCACTAATTCGAATGCCATCCCCCTAACTGAGGGGAGGGGTACATCCCCCTAACTGAGGGGTACTGCTACAAGCTAATATCTCTCAGGGTTGACAACGTGCAGCTGTTCTTTATGAACCAAGGAGTCCCTTTAGAATGTGGGAGAGTCCAAGAAGAAACTTCAGTCAAATTACTTTGCACCGGCGCTGAGTGCATTGAGGACCTGGGGAGGCAATGTTGAGAGATTCTGAATTTGGAAACCTGATTATTTTACAGTGAAATCTGTATGCCGAAGCACACTTTAATTATGGAATTGAAGTAGTATACAGCTCCGTGTAGTCACTTGTTTCTTTGTTTGCCGTATTAGTTTTCTGAGGCTACCAGAATCCTCTCTGTTACTCCAAGCTTCTGTGTCTCAGATTGTCCTGGGCTTTCTGTTATATCACTCCAGCCTCCACCCCTCTTATCACAAGGCATTGTCCTTGTGTGACTTTGCGACCAAGGAACTTGTTAGAAATGCAAATTTTCAAAGTTCTCTTGTTTTGGAAACTTGTAACCAGCCCTCCAGATAGGCTGGCTGATCAGATGTGTTGTTTTTAGGAAGTAAACAAGATAAGTGAAACTGGCAGACAAGCACTACTGGAGGCTAATGCCTGCTGGACTTAGGAGTTGGATGTGTAGAGAAGACCCCTGTGAAGCAGAGAGCAGAAATGGTTTGGAGAATGAAACAGGAGTGCGGGAGAGAGGAAGGAGTGTTTGCAGCAAAGAACAGCAAGACCCTCGTTTGTTTAAGGAACAAAGCAGAGTCCAAAGTTAAAACACAGTGGGGGAAACCAGTATTAGGCATTTTTGAATAGAGGCCATTCTAAGGTTTTGGTTTTTTAAAATGAGGCAGGTGGTTGAGGCTTTTGAGAAAATGGGTGACAAGATCTGATTTCAGTTGATAGGATGCCTCTGGCATAACTAGCAATAATAGGCTGAAGAAAGGTGGGAGGAAGAGAAGTACTGGCTGGAAGGCCTTTGCTGTAATTGAAAGACAGCTCACACTGGGGTGGAGGCAGTAATGGCAGAGGATGCCCAAGACCGCGTGGGAAAAGTAGGCTTTTCCTTTAGTAACCTTGTCGTCCTTAAAGATTAGCAATGTTGTGATGAGTCTTTATTTGTGCTGAGGGGAGATTTTTATATATACATATACATAGATATACACACATATATGCGTATACATATGTGTATATATATATGTATATAAATAATCATACACACACACACACCCCCACGCACACACACACATATATATGAGAAACTATGTGACTGTGACCTACACCAGGTTGGTGCAGGGGTGTGCCTGGGCCAGTGTGGGTCAGTCTCAGGTGCCTTCCTCAGTTGCTTTCCACCATACTTTTTGAGACAAGGTCTCTCCCTGAGAGAAGGTCGCTAATTCTGCTAGGACAGCTGGGTGGTCGTCAAGCCCAGCGAGGTAGGGGCCCCTGTGGCACTGTTTCCCTGTGCTGGGATTGCAGGCATGTGCCACTGTACTTTCCTTGCTTTTTGACATGGGCTTAGGGATTGAACTCAGGTCCTCACTGAGCCCTTGCCCCTTCCTCGTGGAGTGCTTCTTGACTAAAGCTGATTTACTCCTCTGTGAGGACTTTGGTCCTTGACCAGATAGAATTTTGGTTGTCACTACTAGAAGAAATGCTGCTGTCATCTAGTAAATACAAGCTGAGAAGCTTCTGAACATCTTAGGAGTTAATAGCACAACCCTCACGACAGTGCCACTAGTTAGCTTACATTGCCACTTGTACCAAGATTAAGAAAATGTGACTTAAAAGTACTTGCTGAGGTGGGAACATAGGGAGTGGAGAGAAGAGGTCATTTTAGATAACACAAGAGAAATATGGAGCTAGCTACATGGAAATGTTTAAGAATCTGTTGATAGTCAAGGTTGTTGGATGGATTAGTGAAAGGTGAGTCATCCAGGAGAGACTTTATACGTCATGTTAATTACAGATGGTTCATTTTACACTTGTAGGCTGTAAAATTCTGTGAGGATTCATGGAGTGGCAGGTGCTAGAGGTCATTCTGGTAAAGTAGAATTGAGTTGAAGAGTGACACATGACAGGGAGACAGGTGAGAGAGTGAAATAAGGCAAGAATAGATAGGAAGAAGAGGATGGATTAGAAATTTTAGTAGAAAATAAATTGGCAGTGCTTGGTACTTGGATATGGTGAGGGTAAGTGGAGCATTAGGAATGTCTATGTGTTTGTGTCTGCTTAGCATGTGAAAAACCCTGGGTTTGTCCACACCCCTCTCCCCCACCCTTATACATGCACTTTTTTTTTTTTTCCTAATTACTAGTTTCAATAATAAGATGATTCTGAATGAAAGAGGAGCACACTGCTGAGTAGCTTAGATAATTACTGATATTTAAGTAACAAGAACAGGTTAAGGGAGGTAGGTATTGGCTCGGTTTGGGGCTTGTTGAGTTTGCATTCCCTGTGGACAAGGTGGAAGTGTGTAATTGAGTCCATGTGATTTTGAATCTCAGAGAAGTCTTTCAGGATAAAGAGTTGTAACGGGGAGGCAGATTAGTATGTTTTAATTTTTACTCTCTAGATAAGTAAACTACTAACTTTACTTAATTTTTATCAGAAAAGTAAAAACTTTTTTAGCTTTACATATATGGGAATTTATGTGTGTGTGGATGTGTATGCATTAACTATTTTTAAAAAAGTCTTTTATACAGTTAAAATAAGTGAGGCTATATTGGGGAAAATCAGTGATAATGATAGAGTAGAGAATAGTAGGTCCCTTTGTTGTAAATTTCAATGCTGCTTGTAGGGGGAGATGATGGTTTGGGAGTTACAGGCATTATTTTGTGTTGGTTTTGTTTTTTTGAGACCAGGCCTCATGTAGGGCTGAACAGCCTTGAACTTGTGGTCCATCTACCTCTACCTTCTAAGTGCTGGGATTATAGGTGTGATCCACCATGCTGTCTTCTACTTTGGAAGGCAAGAGGAGGATAGGGTTTCATATAAACCTTCATGGCGAGCTTAGGTAAATAATAAAACCTAATGCTTTTTTGTATATTTTCTTCCCTCTGTTCTTTGAGGGTTTTTCCTTGTTTTCATTCTGTTTTGTTTTTTTGTTTGTTTGTTTTGTTTTCATGCTCTACTTTTACAAAATACACATTATAACAATTCACAATATTACCCACAGGTGCATATATTTTTTTCATCAACATGTGTAGGTCAATGTTTTTGGCAGCTGCAGTGTAAAGTACTCGGGGAACTAACATCTGAACATGGCTGTCATGAACATCTTGAAAGGCTTTGATGAGCTTTTCCGTAAGTTAAATGACTGATCATGAAATGACTGTTCAAGGTATATTTATGTAAGCTTCTAAAATAATAGCCAAATATTCTTTGAAAATACAGTAAAAATAAGGAAGATTTTATGGTGCCAGTTAATTCCGTATATTAAT